ATTGTATTATTATTTATAGTGACGGATGTATCATCTGTACAAATGCTTCTTGCTAAACCAGGACCAACATTCACAAAGAACCTATTAAACTTATCTACTACATCCTCCAATCTATTAACCGGAGATCATGTAAGTGTGAAGATGACACACCAGTGGAAAAGCTTTTATGCAAATCTTTACCTTTCCCTTCACAGCCATGTGTTAATGAGCTGTCAGCAGAAAGAAAGTCTCAAATCTGCAGGAAAAAGTGGTTGTGATGTTAATCAGTGACATATCTGATTTCCTGGAAGTAAGACGTTATAGTTTAGATTGAGAGAGTTGTACCAGTTCACTCGGTTTCAGCTGAATCTCTGCAATTGAGAAAAATAAGACTGTATGGAGATTCAGCTGATTTTCTCCCCTTAATGCTGTTTCCACCTTTCTTTTCCTTTTGTCCTGTATATAGCAGGGAGAAATTTTTGTCATTTGAAGAAATTAGGCTTGCATGCAATTAAAATATCTGCAATTAAGAAGTCTTATTTTATCAAGACAGGGCCATAGTTTGAAACATCGCTCTTTATCTACCATAGAAGACATCATTCTGAATTTCCTAGCAGCCATAGGACAGGTCTCCTGAATACATAGAGTGTTTGTTAATAAATCCTAAGAGTCACCAAACAACATTTTACAGGCCTGGAGAAGAGATTTACAAGAGAACCTATCGGAGTAGGATTGATCACAATTCTGCTCTCTGGCTCAAACCCAAATAGTAAACACTCATTCAAAATGACTACAATATAAATTGATAAGCAGAAAGTACGTTTTCCCAGCAAGATTATATTGTTATAACCATAATATTCTTGACACTTGCATTAGGTGCAACGACCGAACAAGATCTCTGTTCCATTGTTTGGACCTGCCTTCAAATAATTGGGTTTTAGGAAAAGGTACTAGGTCTAATCAGTCAGGTCCCCCTTAATCCTATGCATTTTTAATATTTACCCAGAGGGCTTTGCAGCCTCGAAGAACATAAGACTTCTGATCAATATTGGCAACCACACAGGCTTCTCATGGAAGAAACACACAACCTGTGGACTTTCCCAGTGGCTGAAAGGGATGACAGTGTACCAAACTTTAGAAAAGATAATCTAGCTCTCAAAAAATAAACTTGATAGGTTTTGGGAAATTCTTTATAGATTCCTGGAGGAGAAGGAAGCAAAGGTCCCGAGGCAGATCATATTCTTATCTGTGCAAGGCAGCATGATCTTCTTTAAGCCTGCCACATGCTTCTGTGGTCTCCACAAGTGAATATGCACAGATGTTGTTGTTTTACATTTATATGAACATGATTTTTTTTTTGTTTTTACTTCTGTTTCAAACCCACCTCCCACTGGATCAACCAGGCGGCTTATCTGAAATGCAGGGCTGCATGTTATAATTTGGACGCGTTGGCTCTGCAGTCCTGGTGATCTTTTTGAGAGCATCTCTAATCCTATTGCAAAGTTCTTTCCTTCAGATTCTGTCTTTGTGTTTTCATCTTGTGATCATCACTTGAATTGTTTCAAGGTTTGGTGTTGACTTTTTCAGAATTGTGATTCACAACCAAGGGCAGTTGTCAGCCAAGGGGCAGAGGTGAAGATTATGGAGTAGCAAATTTGAAATACTTACAAAATACAAAATAGTGTGAGGCTGACCTTTCTTATACAGTATCTCCCGCAAACTACTACTAACAATAGACTGACTGGAAAGGACTCCTGAATCAGTTGTAATAGAGATTGAGAGTGCATCAAACCTTTAAGTAAACAGAAAAAGGAAAAGTTAATTTGGCACTGAGCTCAAATGGACAGACTTTACAGAGCTGCAGCGAGCATCAAGAAATGTGTGCCTCCTTTTTTCAAGTACATTTCTATTTTAGACAACTTGGATTTCACTGTTGTTATTCTGCCGCCTGAAGCCCACTGACACACTGGAGCGCCCACGCTGCCTCATTACTAAATCTGTCTGGAACATTGTTTTGCTCTCTCTCTTGTTCATTCCCTGCTCATCCTTGATCCCCCCCTCCTTTACACTTCCTTTCATCTATACTCATGTGTTACCTTAAGATCTGACCCATGCTGGGGCCGAGTCGGTGGGCTTGGGGTTGCTCACAGCTTCCCCCTCTGCCGGAGACCCCACATGCTTTGCTGATGGCACATCAGCAGCTGTCAGTGAGCCCTGCAGTGCGTCAGCCACTTTAATTGGCCTGCATGGCCGTGGCCTGACAAGTGC